TCCCATTTGACTGCGCGTTCCCAACAAGAAAGAGGTGCGAAATCAGGTAATCAGGCGCCAACGCTAACTTGTTTCAAACAACATAACATCGACTTGGTTTGGTGACGTCACATGTTTCTATCTTTGCTGCGCCCGTACCGCTGTACCGCGCCACCGCTGCACGGTTGCTTGGAGATTGGGGAAACCTTCAACAACATCGGAGAATTTCAACAACATTGGAGGTATTTTCAAAATAACTTTTATAAGACAACGCGCAGTGAAATTGGAGGAGCTAGAGTTTATTTTGTCATAAGGTAGTGTGATTATTCATGCCACGAAGTATTTGCTAGTCTAGTACTGTAGAAATTAGCGTTTGGATGCACATTGTGAGCCTTTAAGGTTCGTCGTGTAGACGAGGCTTTTGTACAGCTCATTGAATTTGTAGTAACTGAGGTCGTAAACTGACATTGAAACAACACTGTAGCCTCGTCTACACGACAACAGCCGATAGCGATTATTACCGATTTATTATGCATGCGTGCGTGTATGTAAACGTGCGTGTGTGCGTGCATGCGTGAGTGCGTGTGCACGTACATGCGTGCGTGCATGTGCACGTACACGTGTGTGCATGCAGGTACACGTTCGTGCATGTGCACGTACACGTAGGCGTGCGTGCGCGCGTGCACGTAGGCGTGCGTGCATGCGTGCGCACGTACATGAGTGTGTGCGTGCGTGTGTACGTACATCGTACTAGTGCTGCTGCCTATCGTGGAGGTTAAGCTAACTCGAGTTAAGCGTCTACACGGGCCTTAACTCGAGTTAAGCGTCTACACGGGCCTTAACTCGAGTTAGCTTAACCTCGATCGACTGGCGAGGTTAAGCTAACTCGAGTCAAGGTTCGTCGTGTAGACGTAGCTTGTATTGCAGTGGGTGCCAATTGCAGGAACATGCATATTTCATAAATAGTGCACGTTACAGCAATTTAGCACTTTTCGTGCAAAAAGCCACTCAATCTGTGTAATTACGAGCTAATTTAAGTTTTTTATCACATATGTTACATTTTTATGTTGTTGTCGTTTGTTTTGTTGTATTTTACGTTTTTGTATTACATACAAAAAATATGTATGAGCGAGCTCTCGTATCCAGGGTTGTGGTCATAATTTAAAATTTACATATAGGTGAATTGAATGTAACACAAGTATACTTTAGTGTTATTAGAATTTATTCATTTTAACGCAATATGATGAATCTTATTTCACCCAATTTTGACAGGCAACAATTATTCCCATGTAAATCAGTTTTATTATCAAAGCACAAGTAACTCCATTGAAAACATTCCTTGAGTAACATTACTCTTGCTGCCTTAGGGCAGACCGCATACAATAATGCAGATTAATACTCGTCTCCCTCACCCTCTTCACCTTCTCCCTCAACCGAGTCAACACCGACTTCTTCGTAATCCTTCTCCAAGGCAGCCAAATCCTCACGGGCTTCTGAGAATTCTCCTTCCTCCATGCCCTCTCCCACGTACCAATGAACAAAGGCTCGCTTGGCGTACATCAGATCAAACTTGTGGTCGAGACGAGCCCAGGCTTCAGCGATGGCCGTGGTGTTGCTCAGCATGCAGACTGCACGCTGAACCTTGGCCAGATCACCTCCCGGAACAACGGTGGGCGGCTGGTAGTTGATGCCGACCTTGAATCCAGTGGGGCACCAGTCAACGAACTGGATCGTGCGCTTGGTCTTGATGGTTGCGATGGCAGCATTGACATCCTTGGGGACGACATCACCACGATACAGCATGCAGCATGCCATGTACTTGCCATGGCGTGGGTCGCACTTCACCATCTGGTTAGCTGGCTCAAAGCAAGCATTAGTGATCTCAGCAACAGACAGCATCTCATGGTAAGCCTTCTCAGCAGAGATGACAGGAGCATAGGTCGCCAGTGGGAAGTGGATGCGTGGATATGGTACCAAGTTGGTCTGGAACTCTGTAAGATCTACGTTGAGGGCACCATCGAATCTCAGAGATGCAGTGATGGAGGACACAATTTGAGCAATAAGACGATTGAGATTAGTATAGGTTGGTCGTTCAATGTCCAGGTTGCGGCGACAGATGTCATAGATGGCTTCATTGTCCACCATGAAAGCGCAGTCAGAATGCTCCAAAGTAGTATGAGTGGTCAGAATGGAGTTGTATGGCTCAACCACTGCAGTGGACACCTAATTAAAGACAATTTGTTAATCAACCATAGAACACTAACCAATGCATATAACATTAGTTTACTGCATGGTTGGTAAATATATTCAGTTCTATTTTGGTAAAACGTATGTACACAGCTTAGATCATTACAGTAGAAAGTGGTAAAAGTTACACTGTAACACACATGTAATATTGTGAACATGCGTGAAGCGGAGCCTCTACTGTGTTCCCCCACGTGGATTTGATTTGCTGGTTGAACAATGCCATTTTACATAAAAGTTATGTTAAGAAAATGCTACTCAAAGTTAGCAATGAACGGCTAGTTTGTGGTAGTCTTCGTCAAGTTCTTCAATTTTTTACAGGTGAGGGGCTGCTGGATAGTGGTAGAGGGGTAAAAAAGGAAAGCTTGAGAGGAGAGAACAAATGATAAAAGACATAGGCAGTCAGAGGTGATAGTGCTGTTGAACGTAGCGACGCTGTGGGATGGAGGCACAGTAGTTGTGTCCCAAAACACAGACAGTGTGTCTATTCCAAGTACGGAGCAAAGAGAAAAAAAAAGTGGAGACGGGTAGAGGGGTTATAGGAAAGCCTCTATCGCGTAGAGAAGTTGGTCAGCGCAACCCACAACATGAGCTTGTCGCCAATGGTGACGTAGCGACCGTTTCTGCTTGTACGACTTCAAAGTTCAAGCATATGTCACACATGAATAAGCATGCTTGGTGCACGTCGCACCTGTGCTCCCACAGTTGCCTGCATGTGGCAAATGTGGCGACGCACGCGCAACACAAAAACGGTCTCTCCAGGTGGAAGCCTTTGTTGTGTTGTGCTGGATCGTCGCGGTTGCTATGGAGATGTGGCCGTCTAGACCAATGGAGGGCCTCGTCTATGACGTCCTGTGTTGATGGTGAAGTCTCGTTGTAATTGTCACAAAGTAATTGCAAGCAGGTTTTTAAATATATTACCTGCGGTGATGGATAAATGGCGAACTCCAACTTGGACTTCTTTCCATAGTCAACCGACAGACGTTCCATGAGGAGTGACGCGAATCCAGAGCCGGTTCCTCCTCCAAAACTGTGGAAGATGAGGAAGCCCTGAAGCCCAGTGCACTGGTCAGCAAGCTTGCGGATGCGATCCAGCACAAGGTCAACGATCTCCTTGCCGATGGTGTAGTGACCACGTGCATAGTTGTTGGCAGCATCCTCCTTGCCTGTGATGAGCTGTTCTGGGTGGAACAGTTGTCTGTAGGTGCCAGTGCGTACCTCATCTATAAATAGATGCACATTCAATTACATGTTTTTTTTTTAAATGGATACAGGCAATATACTAGCTATAATTATTATACTCTAGTCTCTATACCAGAGCGCTTTTCAACACATTTTTGTGCCATTCTCTACTTGATTTTCTACCTCTTCTATATTATAATATCCTCCATTATTTCTAGCTTACCACTATCCCCTACTGCGGATACATTCAATACGTCTTCATTCCTCCACCTCCCCTCTACCATCACCTTGCACTCTCTATACGTTTTCTATATTCCAGGCATGAGACAGACAAATGCTGAAAAGGGAGTAAAATTCTCGTGCCACTGGCACGAAACTTCTAGGGGGGGTCTGGGGGTCTTTTTTTTGAAAATTATAAGCTCTGAGATGCAATCTAGAGCCATTTGAGGGTACTCCAATAGCTCACAACTAGCAACACTTTTTGGTGAAAAAGGAAAAAATTATGCATATATAACATGGTCACTTACTGTAAAATTGTACTTAATAAAACTTGTTCTATCCGCCTGTACAATGCTCACTACATAAGATAAATGAACAATAATACCAGTCGATTGCTGTACTTCGACGTATCTGCTTTTATCATTATGTTAGCAAGCATACATTAAGACAATGATACGAGTAGAAGCGCTCCGGATAGTTACCGAGTCGCACAGTGTGTTCACATGTACGCGATCGTCAGAGACCACGGAGGTATTCTTACCCCCCCCCCAAAAAAATGGAATCTCAGAAATGGTCTCTGCAGTTCTAAAATGGCCGGAAATCCGCTGAACGGCGGAAATGTCTCATGCCTGATATTCTCCCTATCTATACCTTCTTCAAATCGTCTGCCCTATATACTTTCCCCACATTGTCATCTTTCCTATATTTCAAGTTATATTTCACTAGAAAATTATTAATTACCGTATATGATCGCGTAATAACCGCGGGCGCCTATAAGCCGCACCTCAATTTGAATCGGGTAACCAAGTATTGCGCCTAGTATATTTCCCCTCACGGTATGGCGCACTTATAAACCGCAGAGCAAATACAGGGTTGAAATCCGAGGCCAAATTTGCGGTTATTACGCGAGTATATACGGTACTTACCAACAACAGTAGGTTCCAAGTCTACGAACACAGCACGGGGTACGTGCTTTCCTGCTCCAGTCTCAGAGAAGAAAGTGTTGAAGGAGTCATCACCACCACCAATGGTTTTATCACTGGGCATTTGACCATCAGGCTGTATGCCATGCTCCAGGCAGTACAGTTCCCAGCAGGCATTACCAATCTGCACTCCGGCTTGGCCAACATGTATAGAGATGCACTCACGCTGGGAAGAGAAGGAAAAATTTAAGCATAATAATCTTTTTCACTATTGAATTTTTCTCTCTTCAAAATATGCTTTTCCATACAACTAAATTCATGAGCATAAATAAATTGTAAAAAAAAATCATAGCAGCAGCCATATAATTTATTATAATTATTCCATTAAATTTAGTAATAATAATTAATCAGCAATTAGAAAATTACCCATCCTAGCTTTTCAACATCCTTATTTAAGCCTGGGACACACCATGCGAATTTATTCTCACGTCCGCAGCGTACACACTACACGCGATCTACTGGCGCCACACGGCTCCACCATAGACCTTATCGCTAATCGGTAAATATCACCAGATGGCGCACCACCGCAAAGCATGATGGGATGGAAAAGGATCACCAACAATGGGACACACAGTGTGAATTTATTTGCACGTCCGCAGTGAAAATAACAAACATGTTTGATTGCTGCGAATTTCGGTGCGAATGAAATTCGCAGCGAAATTCGTCCGCGCTTGAGCGGACACACCATGCAAATTTCGCTGCAATTTTACAATCGGACGTGCAAATAAATTTGCATGGTGTGTCCTCCGCTTTACTGACTGTCAGCTGTCATTATGCAACTGTTTGCTAATGTGACTTTTGACTGGGAAGCCATATATATATGAGAATGCCCTGTAGTCTGTACTCTTGGGACAGCTTTGACCGATTTGCCTTTTTGTCAGTGTACAGACTACAGAGGAATTTAATTATCATTATAGACCTACTTTTTTTCTCCTAGCAACACTGTAACTAATCCAGTTGGAGCTTCCTGTGCATAAAATGTTCTTTATCACTGCGGCAACTTTATGTGGGCTATAGTACTAGAGCTAGGTGTGGCTTAACTCTAGTAGTAGTAGTACTAAAGCCCGCGTAGTTGCCGCAGGGCTATAAAACATTTTATGCCGGAAGTGATTATTTACCCGACCGTCGGGCCCGCAGTGAAGAAAATCTAAGATATATAATATAAGATAGCCGAGTCGGTGTGGGACAGGTTGACTGTTTGTACTTGTGTATTGTCTGCAGTGCATGCGTGGCAGGGTAAAAATGCACGCGCCGGGTGTCCTGGTCGAATGTGAATTCTTGACGATCGATTCCCCCGCTGGCAAACTTTTATTGTGGTAGAATTTAATCGGGGCGGAGGTAATTTAAACGGGGCCCAACGATTGAAACAGGGGGGAGTTTTCCCAAACGGGGCGCGCGCGCCCTGTTTGCGCAACGTAGGGAGAACCCTGAATAGTAATTAAAAGTTGCATAAAATTTATTTCATAACATTTACATTAACTACTAACATTACTAACATTATACCAGGAGTCTATCAATTGATATTAAGGCCAAAACAAAATATAGGTGTGGTTACCGTTTCATGCCGAAAAAAAATAGGGTAGGTCGGTCGGGAAAACATTTTATTTTATTGAAACATTTTATTTACGAACCATGTCCGAAGGATGTGCGTTGTGCCTTTTGAAGCAGGAACTGTCCAATTCATATTACAACTAATAAGTATCCACAGGTCCTAGTATGTATACTACATACTATTGCGTGCAGTGTTCGAAATTCGCGTCGGCCCGTTGGCCCGCCGCCGACAGTTTCGATGCCGGGCCTACAGCTTCTTGATAAAACAGGCCCGCTGATCCTACAGTTATTTAATCACCGAAAATTTGAAACACTGAGAAACTGTTACCTGTAGAAATCTGTTCATGCATATTAACTTCCAGGGGTATTTATTTGAAAACTAATCCGTGATAAACCGTGACATACATGTAAACAATGCATTCGCTCACTGCAATCAACTTTAGTTGGCATTCAAGAAACGTGCGTGGAATGTTCGGACGCACAGGTTAGCACAGGTTTCTGAATCCAGTAGCAGCGTTGGCAAAAATCGATAAGAAGTGGGTGGAGCTTACTTTTGGCCAGTGGTAGTGAACCCTACATTGTGTTGGCCAGGGTTTATTTACATGCACGTGTCGTGCAGCACGCTCACTGTTCACGTGCGCTAGGTTGTGGAGTAATCCTCACATCCCCGCGCATTTCACGTTAGGATGTAAACAGTAAAGTATCACTGGTAGTTATTACAAAGGATCAGTATACTGTTTTAAAATAGGTAATACTTATTTAGGTAATATATCACGTTGAATTATACAGTAAATAATAATAATTGTCGTCACACTTTGTTTTATCACACATGTCATAATTAAGTCATTGATACGG